TCTCATCACCACCGCCTCCACGCCCCACCCGCCGCCCACGCGGGGTGCCTCTGCATCACCTCCGTGCACCAGCCACTGACCACCTGGGTCCATGACTGCCACCCTGCTTTGTGGAAATGCCTGGGGACAGTGGCAGTACCTGCCCAGGCTACACGGCCTGGTCTCTAACACTACGGGGTGCAGCAAGGGCCCCGAGGCTGACCGAGCGCACCGCAGAGGACCCAAAGACCACCTGCTCCACCACCCTGTTGCTTTGGCCACCCCCCTCCAGGTCGCCAGGGCCTGGTCAGAGAACTCAACAGCACCAATTACCAAGCTAAGGACCAACAGACGCTCTGCTCCTCAATAACAATTCACACTCGTGTGCCGAGCTTGCTCTTTCCACCCGCGGCCATGTCAGTGTTGTGTGCCCTGTTTTACAGTGAGGACACCTCGGCCCTCCATAGGCTAAGCACCCTGACCCACCCAGCCACCCAAGTCGGCCTGACTCAGAGCCCAGCACCCTCCCACACATCGGCAGGCCTCCATGCACCTGGGGCCCTCCAGCCTGGGGTGAAGAGGGAAAGAATGGGCTGTGAGGCAGGGCTGTGCAGGGAGGCGGCCTGACTCGATTCCACTGGCTCAGTGGGAGGCTTGGCCTGGGGCACACGAGCAGGCCACTCGGCCATTCGGGCAGGAAGGGAAGCCGGAAGTGCTCTGATTCTTCCTCTTCAGTTTGCACGTGAGGAAACGGAGGCCCCAGTGCATGTAAAAAACCACGGCCAGAGAGCGATGGTCCAACAAGATGCAAAGGGGCCTGGGACTGAACAGCGTGAGCCAGGCTGGCACCGGGAGAGGAAGCTGCCACCCTTACCAGATCCTTACCTATTCAGAGCTGGTCTCAGGTGCTCCCTTTGAGGGGCCAGTCCCAGGTGTCTAATGATGAGGCAGTGAATCACGGAACCTGGGAGCTTGAGGTTGACACAAACCTCAGAGGTCACTTGCGCCAACCACCTGTTTGAGACTTAACTACCTTTATGTCACCTCCCAGTGCTGGCCGTCTTGCCTCTGCTTGGTTATCTCTAGGATGGACAACTGACTGTCTCACTAGACGGCTTCATGTTTATTCAGTGGGTTAAAAAAATCTCAAAAGGGTTATGACTTTGTTGAGCCTCAGTGTCCCTACCTATTAAAAAAAAAAAAAGCTCGGACTGTGTCATTAGCTTTCCACCTGGGTTCCATAGAGCCCTCAGGTTTTTCTTTTTTAATTTATTGATTTTAGAGAGAGAGAAAGGGGAAGGGGAGAGAGAGACAGACATCCGTTGTTCTGCATTCATAGGTTGCGCCTTATATGTGCCCTGACTGGGGATTGACCCCACAACCTTAGCGTATCAGGATGATGCTCTAACCATCTTAGATACCCGGCCGGGACTAGCCTTTGAGTTTTAAAGAGGCACCTTCAGAGCTGCAGTTGGAGTGAGAGAAGCGATGGGGGCAGAAAGCGAGGCCCACCAGGCAATCCTTGGGCACCTGGGTTGTGGGGTTCCATGGAGAGTGAGCCTCAACCTGGGAGCCAGAACCTAACTCCTGTGGGTGACGTGAAGGGCAATCTGTGGAGAGGGAGGTGGAGGCAGACAAAGGGGAGGGGGTGAGAGGTGCCCCTGGGGAAACGGGCCTGATTCTCCCGTGCCCTCACTCCCAGCCACAGCCCATGGGGCTAGGCTGAGTTCTCTGTTCACAAAGGCACACCTCCCAAAAGCTCCTACGACCTTCTGCATGGAGCAGAGGATGCAGAGAACAAAACTTCATCAGCTAATCGCAGGCCACGTCCGCTGTGCTGGGGAGTCTGAAAATAAAGCAGGGGTGAACCAGGGCTGAACGGGCCCTGGAGGGACCATCCTGCACAACCGCCTTCCCAGCTGGGTGCCTTGGGCTGGTTAATTAACCTCTCTGGGACTCAGCGTCTTCCCCGGTATAATGGGCACCTACACATCAAAGGGCGATGGTGAGGGTGCGGAAACGATTCACATCTGGTGCTGTAAACGAGCACAAGGGAACTTAGCAGCTGCCGCCACTGCTGCTGATATGATCACTGCTTGAGCCATCCTCCATAAATAGGTAAAAACAGACTCACCCAAGGTGCTGCCCAAGGTCAAACCACCAGTTCCCGCTGACCGCCCCCTCTAAGGCTCCTGCTTCCTGGGGGGCATCCAGGTGGCAAGTGGCCCTCCTAGATCGGCCGGACCGCGGCCTGGCCTCCTCCAGCGCGGCACGGAGAGGCGCACCGACCCGGGCAGAGAGGGCACGCTCTGCCGCGCAGCGGTACTCTGCGGCACTGAAGAAGCCCTCCCCGGGACCAGAAGTCACGGGTACACATACACATTCATGTTAGGGCACCCCCCAAAACATCGCCCCAAAAGGATGGCTGTAACTTTTCCTGGGCCATCCTCTATTCCACTGCTGTCACCAGCACCCACCTCTGTCCCCCACCCTCCTCCTCCTCCCTTGCCAGCTCCATGAACTGCTTCCTGGAGCATTTACTGTCCCAGCCCCCACCCCTGCCAGGTCACCCGGGTGACGTTACACACAAAGAATTCCAAGTCAGATGGAACAAGGTCGTTACAACCAGAAAACGTCCTGTTTAATCAACTATTTCCTTGGAAAAAAAAAAGTGGGTAAATTTGGGCATAGGCTCCAAGCTGGGAAGAAAGCCTAGAGCAGCAAGTACGGGAATGCTTCTTTGGAGAGAGAATGCACAGAGATCTTAACAGGTTCCCGGTGAACTCAAACTGCCCTGCCTTGGACCCGGCCCCTGTGGGTGTGCCCCATTAAAAAGCCAAAGTCTCACACGACAACCCGACCCAGCTAAATGGCCACTCAATGCTGAGGTCCACGGCAGCGCCCAGAAGGAACTCAGCTCTGTTCCAAAGTCGCCAGGCAGGGGTGGACCCTCCACAAAAGCTCCCAGCAAATGTCCCCTCCTGATTTCAGCTCCCTGCTCCCGTGTTCTGTAGATGTAGGTCTGAGCCCCTCGCTTCTATAGGTGGGACCCCCAGGAAGTGACTTGTCCTCAGTTTTCCTCTGCTGAAAAACGAGGCAACACCTTCTTTGCAGGGACATGGTGAAGCACGTATGCCAAAGGGCCCAGGACAGAGCCCGGGGCCGCCTCAGGTGGCTCCTGCCATTTCCTTGTGTCCCGGGCACCCTGCCGTCAAACACAAACACTGCACTTCCTCCAGCCCTCCACCCCGAAGACCGCCCTGCCGGGCATAGGCCCCGAGCTCGGCAGTCTGCCTCCCACTTACTATTATTATAGTCCTTGGGCAAGTCCCCCTCCTTCCCGAGCCTCAGTTTCTCCGTCTGTCAAATGAGGCTGCTGGGTTTGGATGACCTGGAGGATCCTTTGCTGCCCTGACATAGGACTGTGCCAGCGACCCGAAGTCACTCCTGTAACCACTGCCCCCTTAAGCCCGGGCTGATGCCTGCTGAATGCAAGACCGGCCGGAGCTGCAGGGCCCAAGCTCCCCACCGCTGGGCCTGAGGCTGGCACAGCCCCCAGCGCTGCTACAGAGCAGGTGTTTCACTGAGCCCGGTGGAGGTGACGAACTTGGGAGGTGATGGGCTGTGACAGCAAGAGCGGGTGTCACTGCGGAGCCAAGGTGAAGACTCCACCAGCACGCCTGGTTCTGAGTCGCTGGAGAAGGGCGGGCTGCCCCTCCCTCAGGCCCCTGGCCTCAGTGCACACTCAGCCCTCTGCCCCTTGCCGGCCCCGGAGGCCACTCTGCCAGGAGAGACTAGGAAGATGGGAGTCAGTGGGAGGAGCGGCCCTCCAGGAGAGTAGCTCCTGAGTCCTTCCCGGGACGACCGGGCATTCTGGTGTCCACCACGTGGTTGCCAGAGAACCCCTTCCCATAAACAGGAGGAGCAGCAGACAGAGTCCTGGAAGCAGGGTCTGCACTCGCACCCAGGTCCTTCGGCAACATCCTAGGTGGTCTCCACAGCCCCGGGAGCTTCTATCCTGCCTGGGCCCAGCGTGCACTGTGCGCTCAGTAAACGCCCCTTCCTGTTCCTTGCTTCTTCTCACGCAGAAGGGACAAAGAGAAAGTGCTCAAAGACACCAGGAACACGAAACAAACAACAGAGGGCCACAGAAGAGGCGTCTCTATCTTAAATCCTACACACACAAGGCACCAATTCACTCGGCCTCAAAATTAGGGCTGGCTCCCAAGCTGCTCCTGGCCGCCGTGCTGCGGGACCAGAGGGCTCCTATCCACAGGTGCTCTTCTGTCTCTGGATGGCCTTCCTGGGCCGGGAAGGCCCACACAGGGGTGTGTGTGTGGGGGGTTCTCCTCTGCTGGAGATCTCCCCCCCAGTCTGCCTGTGATGGCTGATAACCTGTTCATTCTCTAAAGATGCTCTATGCATTGTCCTGGAAAGATGCTCCAGGCATTATGATGCCTGGCCACATGCTTTTAGGACACCACAACTGCTCTGACAAGGTTTTGTCATTAAAGGCCAATGTGAAAATAGCCACAGGTAGACAACAAGGGCTCTTTAGGCTACCTCCAGCCCCAAACAAAGATTTCCTCATCTGTGGACGGAGGTGATTTTGCCCGCAATGACCTAGTTCACCACCGTCCACTAGGTAATGACAGAAGGTGACCCCGCCTGCTTGGAAGCTCCAAGTGAAGTTTTCTGTCTCAAATGCTGTATCTGTCTTCGGTCAGAACTTCCCGACAGACCTTTCCCTCTCTTCTCCCCAGTGATGTCTCTGTCCCTGTCTTGGTTAACTGTCCTCGGTACCCTGGTGTCCGGACTTCCACTGCACCCTGCCCGGTTCTTCCTGGTGTAAGTGAAACGTGAAATGGTAAACTGTGGTGAGCGTTCAACACGGCTCGGCCTCCTTGGAAGCACAAACCTTCCCCTGCCGAGACGGGCCGGGGACCACCCCTGTGTGTCCGGGAGTGGGCTCCCTACCTCCCTGTTGAGTTGCGAGTCCTTGTGCCAACTGCTTGGCTTACCTGTCATGATCCTCTGGGCCTCGTAGGGCTCCATGTAGCCAGCGCTCTCCCCCTTTCCTGCTTTGCTCTTGAGATCATTCTTGGCATCAAAGGGATCTGAGTAGTCATCAGCAATAATCACCTGCAGGGAGGAAGATGGAAGGGTGAGTCCACCTTTGGCTTTCGGCTTCACAGCCAGGCTTTGCTCCAACACACATAAACTGAGCCTGCGCCACACCAGCAAGGAGGTGGAGGGGCAGGCCGGAGCCAGAACTGGTGCCCGCCCTCAGGAAGCTCCAATTCTTGCAGGGATAACCAAGGGACTCCCCTCCGACGCCCACCATTGGCAGTGCTCCATCGCAAGAGGGGGACCTCTGAGCCTGTGCGTGCAGCGTGGCCTGCTCTGGGCACAGTGCGGTGAGAACCAAAGGGTGCCTGGGTAGAGAGGCACAGAGGCAAAAACCTGGAGGGTGTCTTTGGGAATGCAAGTTGCTCAATGTAATGGAATGGAAATGGAGGAAAGTTGGAAAGGAGATTGCAGAACGCTGGAAATGCTGACAAGCTCCTGGTGCTGGCTGAGGCAAGAAGAGCTTGTCTAGAGATAATTATGTTGAGCGTTCCATTTTCCCCAAATCTGGAACACAATCACGCCTTGGGTAATCAGAAAACAATTTGGTGAGATCAACGCACTGCGAAGGAGACTGTGGCCCCAGAGAGGCCTGATAAAAACACAAAAGCAGCTCAGGGATGGCCGGACGGAGTACCAGGACCAGACAGGGCCCAGGGAGCAACACACCGGAAGACCTTCCTGTAACAGACGGGGAAGCTGGGCTCTAGCGGAGGAAGGGCCTCGACCAAGACCCTTGGCCCGATATTCTGCTCCAGGGCCCTTCCTGGCCTCCTCACTTGTCTGTGTTCCAGAAAAGAGCAAAGTGTCACATCAGATGGACAGAGAGTCACCTGGGGGTAGACAGTGAGGGAGCAGAGGGGTGAGTCCCATGAAAACGTGAGCATCTGGGCTTTGAACACTTCAGAAACCGAGCCCCACGTTTTCCCTGGAGAAGGGCGAAGACTCTCAGTTGGAGATTAAGTGCAAAGATGAGGACGACTTTCTCTCCCCTTTCTCACTTCCCAACCTTCATGAGGGGCACACTTATCAGAGGGGAAAGGACAGGAGCCCACCAAACTCGTTCCCTTTCAACACATTCTGGCCGCACTGCAAACTCACAGTGATTTCTGTCATTATCTGTCCCTTTGGTCACACATCTGGCAAAGGGCAAGTCCTCAGCCTCCCACCAGGGCTGCCCACCTGCCCCTCCCTCTTGGGAGGGGGTAGGTTGGCGTCTCTCTCCACCCTTGGGGTTGCATGAATTGTTATTTAAATTGTGGGTTTAATTAGAAACCACAGGAGCCTCCTCTCTCCCCCAGCTCCTGGAATGTAAGGCATTTGAGGGGCCTGTAAACCCAGGGGAAGGGAAAATCCCCCTTTGTCTGTCCCATGAATGGCAGCTTGTGGCAGCAGCCCTGGCAGGGCGAACTAGTGACCCCCCGCTGCCTGCCAGAATGTGATGCCCAAGGAGGGACAGCGAGCAGCAGCCTATCCCGGGTGTGTGCAGCGGCCTCAAGGGAGGCAGAGCACACAGCGGCCGGTGGAGCGTATCGGTGAAAGACCCAAGGCCTCAGCGCCCCCACCTGAGCACGTGCACCCCGCTGCCTGCCCCCATGGGCCTGCAGGCCTGCCCACTGCCTCTGCAGCTTGGGTCGTGGGTCGGGCTCTGAGTCCCAGCAGGGGCCCTTCCAGATGCTGACATTGTAACCACGGCCTTTCCTGAGACTCACTGAGCTCAAATGACACCAGGCAAGGGAGAGACAGGTGGGGGTGGGGGAGAGCTGGGCCAGGCAATGTCTTTGACTTGATATTTCTATTCTACCACTTGCAGAACACAGCGGGGAGAAAACTGTACACATGAACCGCTGTCAAACAGAAGAGCTCAGATGCGGATCTGGCGTGGGGTCTGGTGTCTGAGTTCACGAGACCAGAGGTCCACGCGCAGAAAGGGATGGATGGCTGACGTCTCGTCTTAGGTCCCCTGCCCCAGACCTCCTTACTGTCTGTTTTCAACATGAACATCCCCCCTCTATGCTGCAGTGAGGAAGGGAGCAAAAATTCCCTAAAGAAAACAGAACCATTTGGGGGGACTGGCAGGGGAGGAAGAAGACGGGAGGGAGCTCGGCTGCACGGAAGTGCTCTGTAATTTGCAAACACGGAGGCTTGCAGGATATAAACCAAATCTTTGTTCGCCCTGGGACAGAAGCTCTGGGAGGCCTTTGGTTCGGCAGGCACTATCTGTACTTTCTAATTAAAATGAGATCTGAGCTTGGGCTGTCACGGGCCCCCAGCTGCCTGCCTGCTCACTTCCGTTTCAATAAGAATTTACAAACCCTAAGACCAGGAAAAGCCCCTGGTCTCTGCTGACATATGGTTCCAGTTATACCTGCTGACAGTTGAAAATCCTTCCGTTTAAAAAAAAAGTTTAGGATTCTGTTAGTCTAAGAAGCAAATCAGAAGGTTTCTAAAATATATATTTAATCAATTTGCTTTCAAACTTCAAAGTGAGGTGGGTGGTGGGGAGGGACTTGGAGGCTTGAGCAACCTGAAACTCTGCAAACACTCACCGAGCTGTCTGACCTTTTGCAAAATCATGTCCTGGTTTTGGGGAGTAAAAATTTAACCAGGTGTTAGGAGAGAGTTGAGTGGGCAGTTAGCCAGAGGGGCATGTGCTGGGCCACAGGTCCCAGCCACAGGCCCCGGGCAGCGTATCACTGTCCAAGCTGCCCAGGGCTCACTCTAAGTCAGGACAGCCCCGTAAGGGGCTTGAGTGAAGGCTGCTGATTTTCTCACTTAAAAAAGAAAGAGAATACATTTCCCCACATGGGGGCTTGGGGTTCTGTTGGGGCTGCTTTTGCCCCAGTTAGCAGACAAGTCCCTCAGATCGAATTGAACAATTCAAGTAGAAGGGAGCCAAGCGGAGACGACTTCTCTGTAGAGCAGGCCACCTGGGCACGTGAGAGGCTCTACTTGATTTTGATCTTGGACTGGAAGGCCTGACCCGGCATCGGCCCTTCACGTGGCCTCGTGGTCCCACGGGGCAGGTGCAGCGCCGAGAAGGGAGCCCAGGCTCCTGGTCTCGCCACCTCACTATGGAGCTGAGCAGCAGCAGAAAGACAGAGGTTATGGCTGAACACCAGCCAAGCCTTTTCTTGCTTTCCAATGAAACTAGAAACTCCAGATCAACTCAGGACCCTTAAAGGACTTACAGGCTCAGAGAGCAACGAAACGGAGGCTCCTTGAGAGACCTGCTCCATCATCCCTTTGTTTATATGCAGCCCACGGCAGCCCAGAGGGTCCGAGGGTTCGACCCTGCCCACGCCACCTCCCTGACAGGGCTCTGGGACTCAGCTCCACAGCCTCCTTTCTGGTCTGCCTTCAATCAGTCTGGGGCCAGGGTGCTTTTACCCTGAAGATATGGCTTCATGATAGAAGGTAGTCTTCCTGTCCTGTTAGAGGAAGGTGGGTGTTGTCCCTTGGTCACACATCCATAGGCTTTTGTGAGGGACAGCTGCACCTGGGGGAGAGCTGGGTTCTCTCCCCATGCATGTTCTTGGAGGAAAGGTAAACTGGTAGAGACACTTTGAAAGATAACTTTTGGCAGAACCTACTAAAATCCTGAAATGTACATGGATTCACCCAGCAACTCTGCTTCTCAGTATTTATTCCCAAACGTACATATGGCAGCATGGGCAAAGCAAATACTGGAGCAAATACTGATGAGAAATTGCCAGCACCTGCTACATCCACCCACAGGGGAATTGCTCGGTCACGCTAATTCCATGTATCGGAATATTATGCAGCAAGTAAAACAACAACAACAACAACATAAAAAGCAGTCACTCATGATGCACAAACATAGTTCTCCATGGCATAGTTTGGAATAAAAGGAAAGCAGGCTGTGGAATGATAGTTACAGCCTGACACTTCTTTAGGAAAAACAGAACCCTGTATCTCTAATGTAAAGAAAACATCTGGGGAGACATGCACCTCACACTGACACCTCCTCTGGGGGGAGGGGGCGGGGCTGGTCACAGGAAATCAAAGGAGACTTGCCTGTAATGTTAACACATTTTCAAACAAGAAAGACTTATTCATGTGTTATACGCGAAACTAAACTTTTAAAGAAGCACCCCTCTTCACAGGCTATTTTTGGTACAGTAGATAAACCGTTTCCCAAACGTGACCAAATACAGGAATGGCTTGGACGCTTGGTAAAAACACAGATACCTAGTTCCAATGATGTGTGTTTAATAAGCAACCCAGGTGATTCTTATCGGGAAAGTTTGGGAAATGCAAGCTAGAGAGCCCTTCCCCACCAACGGAAAGCAAAGCTTCCAGGCATTACTCTGGATGTTCACTTTTCCCAGATTTTTCTCAGCCCCGTCCATTAAAGTGAAACAAGAAGTGGGTATTGAATGCAGTTCTCTTTGGCTTTTTTCCCTGGGAGTCGACTGGAGTAAGAGATGACCCAACACGCCTTGGTCCACCTCCAGAATCTAAGACGTAGAGGTAATGGCATCCTCTGTGCAATCCTGAGGGCTGGCCCCAGGTTGAGCAACAGGGCTGTGGGGGATGGGGGTGGGGGTGGGGGGCCCAGGCAGGCAGGCCTTGCCCTACCCAGCCAGGGGAGCCTGGCCCTGCAGACACGCAAGGCTCTCTGTTCTAAGGCATCCAGGGTGTCCAACCTTTTGGCGTCTCTGGGCCACACTGGAAGAGTTGTCTTGGGCCACACATTAAATACACTGCAACACGTAATCACAAAAAAGTCTCATGATGTTTTAAGTAAATATCTGATCTTGTGTGAGGCCACATTCACAGCCATCCCGGGCCGCAGGTTGGACAGCCCTGGTAGACCCTGTCCGGCTAGCTCCACGTGGCTCTCAGCAAACCCTTTGGGAAGATCCCCCACTCCAGGAAGGGCTGGTGGGAATGTAGGGGAGGTACTGCTGAAATGCACAAGGCATCCCTGCTAAAATCACTCAAACATGATAAAGGGATTGTGGGGGGGACCAGAAAGGCAGAGCAGCCAC